ATTCTGAGATTAAAGTCAGAATTCTTTGATTAAAGGCAGAATTCTGAGATTAAAGGCAGAATTCTGAGATTAAAGGCAGAATTCTGAGATTAAAGGCAGAATTCTTTGATTAAAGTCAGAATTCTGAGAATAAAGGCAGAATTCTTTGATTAAAGTCAGAATACTTTGATTAAAGGCAGAATTCTGACTTTAATCTCAGAATTCTGAGATTAAAGTCAGAATTCTGAGATTAAAAGTCAGAATTCTGAGATTAATGTCAGAATTCTGAGATTAAAGTCAGAATTCTGAGATTAAAGGCAGAATAATTTGGTTAAATTCAGAACACTTTGATTAGAATCAGAATTCTCAGAAAAAAATGCAGAATTCTGAGATTAAAGTCAAAATTCTGGGATTAATGTCAGAATATTTTGATTACAATCAGAATTCTCAGAAAAAAAGGCAGAATTCTGAGATTATTTGCTCTGATCTTCATGTGATCCAGGAAAAACTAGGATATTTTATTTTCCCAGAACTTTTGTGTTTTATGGAGTTTTTGTTCAACTGAAGGTGAAAAATAGTTTGAACTAAAGGAAATTTCAGAATCAACCGTTTTACTTTGACTTCACTAGACCGGAAATCCAATAAATCGATCACTGAAATAATCCTAAACTAATTTAGTAAATAATCAGCCTTTAAGCGGCGCATACAGACCCTCTAACCAGGGTAATAATGATAAGAACTTAAAATTTTAATTTTTAGCAAATAGATATTTTACCATAAAAAGTATCATAGTATAACAGTAAATATTTTTTGCCAACTAAGATATGATTCCAGGGCTCTATTTATTGGGAACATATTTTAGTTATCATAATCTGTTCCATGATTTTCCCATCTATTATAATTATTTAACATTGTCCATTGACTTAATGCAGTTGTGCATTTTTTATATATTTTTAATTTTAGTTTATATTTTTTTAATTTCTTTACATATACTCACAATTTTAGTTTCTTAGTTTTCTCCAGTGTTCTTAGCCAGTTGTGGCCCTCAGAGAAACGTTGGGTGGCCCTTTATTTGTAAAATAGGACAACAAACAGTTTGTGATTTTTACTGAAAAACTAACCTGGATGAGCCGATCTATGGCACTTTATAAAAAAAGCAGGATTTTATCAAATCCTTGTTGCTAAAACACAAAAAAAGAATCTAAAATCAAAGTTTTATTTTGTGTTTTTCTTTTTAACCTATGAGCATGACTTTGATATTTTCAATCTGTGATGATTTATAATCCCTACTCTACTTATTTCCTTTAAGTATAGTGTCAGAAGTTTATCATTGAGCAAGTAACACTGGCAAGTTTAATCAAATTAAAGTGAAAACTTTTGGCCTGAACACTTCAACTTTAAATTCTTTTAAACCCAAACTGAACAAAATATGTCTATATTTTACATTTAAGATGTAAAATCTTTGTTTAAAAAAAACAAAAACTAACATAGTAGTATAAAATTCACCAGTAGGCTTGTCTGCTATCCCATTAATTACTGGTTAGATGCTGGTAAAGGAGTTAAACTAGAGTTTTAACCAGACTATAACTAGTTTTACCTCAGTAAAGAGAATAGTTAACCCAGGTTATCCAGCAGGAAGAGCTTGATGAACAGAACACAGCGAGAAAGACTAAACAAAAAGCAGCAGCAAATACAAACAACTTGGACTGAATCCATGGATCTGATTGATCAATTACTGGAAGGATCGTTAACTAATTTAGCAATTGATTAATCACCGACTGTAGGAAACAGACTCCAATACATTCTGTTAGCGGAAAGTTCAACACTAATTATGTCAAAATTGTAAAGATTATATAAATATTTGTTATTTCAGATTTTTGCTCTATTTAGAACTCCTCTAATGGCAGTTTTAGCCTCACCGGGTTTAAATTCAGTATTAAAACTTCTTTAAGGCGCTTTATTAATTTAATCAAACAATTAAAGTCCTACAAATAATATAATCCAATTTACTCAGAAAAAAACCTCCTTTATTGAGCTGTGTCGGTCAGGAATGACCGCCCTGCCGATGTTAAAGGGTCCATCCATGTTTAGGGAAAATGCCTCTGCTACTTATTTATAAACTACTTTGTTTAGATTTCAGAGGAAAGAAAATTCCCCAACAAGGATCTTTGTGGATGTGGGAGGAAATCGACCTCCAGGAAACCAATATGCATTGAACAGAAGAAGAAGAGCTTCACTGACGTCTGGATAAATAGATTGATGGAGCGTAATATTTCAATGTAAAGTCATGAAGGTGTTTGGTTTCACTGCATTTGCTGACATCAAAGCAAGTTGTGTCACATGCCAGATACCCGACGCGACACGTTTGCAGCCAAATGACTCTGCTGCTTTCATGTTTGTCGGTAATTATTGCGAGGTTGACGCTTTAAGCATGATATGAATGCTAAACGTTCTGAATCCTGAGAGCTTCCTGCAAGGAAGTACCAGGCTAGGATCGCTGATTTATTATCACAAAAAAACCATCTGTGTTTATTTTTAGTGTTTCTTTCCCCCATTAATGTTTCAAGCACAAAAAAATTAAAAGTAACCCAAAAATGTAACTGAAAAAAAATCTTTATAAAAGCAATTTAGCTGTTTTATCAGTTTTTTTTTTATAATTTTTATTTTTTTCATATTCTTTTTTTTCATTTTCTTTTTAGTTTGTGTATTTTTATTATATATATTTTATATTTTCAAAAGTTTTTCTCCCAAATGTATTGTTTATAGATTGATTTTTACAGATCACAATCTCATCACTTCTTTAGTAAATAATTAAAGTCGTAGGGAAGCGGCCGCTCCAATTGTTGCATTTTTAAATTCTCCTGAGTGGTGCCCGACTTTACACGAGTGAATAAAGTGAACGTGATTGGTCGATTATCAAGGGGGCGGGATTGTTGTGGCAGAAGCTTCTTGCTAACCAGTTAGCATCTTAGTGCTAGCAGGTTCCCAATGGGAAATTCCATTGGGACCAAGTAGCACTAAATTGGTGACTTAGAAACGACGCTGTCAAGGAACGCTATGGACAG